AGTTTACCATCTAGATTTTTTCTTTCTTCCAGGAGGAATCTTCATGACTGGAACACCACGTGGTTCCTTCTTGACATCATTTTCATCAGAAATAGGCAGGTTAATGGGATGGGAGTAGGCCGCATATAAGGATTCCCGTGAGTAAGATGGACACACAAGTGTTGACAGTTTCACGTTGGCCTCTTCTGCCGCTGCAATAACATGTGAGCAAGGGAAATGAACTCGTGACCATAACCTCGGGTCCGCAGTCTCCAAATATTGAGCAAGTCTGGGGTTTACCTCTCGGATTGCGTCCATGTATCGATTATAATCGTAAGTCGTATGTGCATATGCAGCACCTTTCACCAAGTACATGAGTTGCTTCTCGTGAAACTTTGTCACAATGTTTTGCTGCAGATGATAGTAACATATACCTCGTGTTGCCCATGGTATGACATTCTTACATGCATCAGCGATGGAGTCGTGCCGGTCAGAAACTAGGACAAGCGGATATCCATCTGAGAAACATCTACTCAATTTGGTGAAAAACCAATTCCATGAATCATTACACTCAGAATCCACAACTCCAAAAGCCAAAGGAAATATCTGAAAGTTACCATCCTGTGCGGCTGCCACTAGCAAAACACCTCCATACTTCCCAGTTAGATGAGTCCCATCTACAACAATCACTCGTCTCAAGTATTGAAAACCAGCTATGGAAACTCCAAATAAAATAAACAGGAACTTAAATCGATCCATCTCATCGCATACAAGGTCTGTGACACTTCCTGGATTAGCTCTCTCAATTTGATGCAAATAAGAAGGCAGCTTCTCATATCAATCTTATGTTGTTCCTCTCACCAATTGTTGGGCATATATCAAAGCTCTATAAGATGTGGTGTAACTGAGGTTTAGACCAAACATCACCTTCATAGAATCTCTGATATGCGTTAGCACAATTCCATCGATTATGCCAACTCGTTCCACAAACAGAGCCCCAATGTACTTAGGTGTACAACGTCTACGATGAGCTGATCAGTCTATCACAGAACAAGTATGATCCTTCAGATACTTTGTCACCCAGAATGTGTTTGCTTCGTTCTTCACACCTGCTCTAACCATCCAAACGCATCCTTTGACTGAACATTTTGCTACAAACAAAGATGTTGTAGACTTATATACTTTGAAAGCAAATCTCTTCATAACTGCAATCAATCGCAACTCAGATACAAGCTTCTCCTTGTTAGGAAAACTCCGATTAAAAAAGATTTTAGACGACCAACTACTATCCAGTCGATCAAAACCACCACAACGCTCTCTTACACCCTCAACTTCATCCTCATCTTTAACTTTCCCGTACTCACTGTAATTCACATCTGAGTCATCATACTTTTCTTTCATATTCTGATCAACTTCATCTTCATTCAAACTATCAGCTTCATCCTCATTTTTAACGTTTTCATCCCAATCTTCAGCGTTTTCATCCCAATCTTCTTCAGCATCAGAGCACGTATCCGCATGTCCATCCACATCATCATTCTCATGGTCCAGTATCCTACTCGAAACACAAAGACGAACACCATGCATCTTACTTAACTCAATCAAGCTCTGAACATGTTTATCATTTGTGACATACATAGGCGGAGAATCAGGAGGCCTTTGTTGAAGCATCTGAGGTGGTAAGGGATAGGATAACTCCACCTTTGTTTCCTTTTCCAGCATATAATCCTATTGCACCATTCCAAGAAGCTCAACATGTGTGCAACCATCTCTTAAGAACAACATTCGCCCTCTTTTGTTATTATCCACCTCGAACTGCCACACTGATTCACTTTTAACCCATTCTCCATAAACAGCGGGTATGTGAACCATTCTCTGTGAAAAAAAAACAAAATCCAAACCACATTAGACATCAACATTGCATAAGTAGACTTCTATGTAAGTCGAATGAAGTCTACTTAGTAGACTTCTAGAGTAGACTAAGAAGTCTACTCTTAATAAGCTAAGTATCATATAAAACATGAAAACTCATTCGACTATACCTATAAAATATAAACATGCAAAACTTATACATAAGCAAGAAAACTTAATAACAGAAGCTTAGGATCACGAAAATCTTAAAAAATTCGTTATATATTGTATAAAAATGATTTTTTTTAAAAAAAAAAAGAAAAGTAGACTTCTCGGATGAAAGTAGACTTCTCGCAGGTTAGTTTTGCAATTGCCAAAATATTAGTAGACTTCTCAATGAAAAGTAGACTTCTCGCAAAAGTCTACTTTCAGAAGTAGACTTCTCGCAGGTCATTTTTGCAATTGAAAAATATTTGACTTTTTGGTCAATTGCAAAAATGACCTGCGAGAAGTCTACTTTGCATAGAGAAGTCTACTCTACAAAGTCAAAGGTTGGTCAATTGCAAAAATGACCTGCTTCTAAAGAAGTCTACTCGAGAAGTCTACTCTATTTTTTTGTTATCAAAGGAAATGGAGTAGACTTCATTTGGACCAAAAGAAGTCTACTTTTTCATGAGGTCAATTGCAAAACTAACCTGGGCGTTGACTAGTAGACTTCATTCGGACCGAGAGAAGTCTACTTTCGGAGCCCAGAACTGAAAAACACTAAAATTGACTAAAAATCCGAGTTACCACTCGTCTTTAGCTTCTTTTCTGGTCAAGATCTTCGATCCTAGCCACAATGAAAGAAGCACAACCGCAAGAAACAACCAAATCGCCGGAATATAGAAATCTTTATGAACTTCAATTTTTTAATAAACAAATTATAGAGTTTTTGGGAAGAAAATAGAGAGAAATTGGATGAATAGAAGCTTAAAGGGAAAATAATGAGCTCAACAAACTCAAAAATGGGTTTTGCCACCATTAAAGCTTCAAAATTGGTTGAAAATGGTGGTTGGGTGAATTGATGATGATGGTATTTTCGTAAATAAGTGAGGAAGATGAGGATTAGTTGGTTAATTGAATTTCCGAAAATAAAGAAATTAATTAAAAATAATGGCAATTTCGTGAATAACTGAAACTATGAGGGATTGTTTGGACATAAAATAATAAATGTTGTGAAAGTGATTTTTGTGGGTTAGATTTGCAATTCAAATCAAATTTTAGGTCATTTTTACAAGAATTCCTTAGTTTTTTTTTTTTGCTAAAAAGTGAAAATTAGTTGACATAAGTATATTTTATATTCTTATAATCATAACGGGTTAAATCAAGTTTTTTATTTACTATAAAAATAATGAGATAATGTACCTTTGTCCCTGTCTTACTATTATGAATTTGATTATTGAGTAGCAAAATCGACAAGCTTGAGAAATAAAAACATAATGTGAAGAGAATCGTTTATAATTGAAGTGGATAGGGTTTGGAGTTTTTTTTCACTTCTTTTTCTTCTTCTTCTTAGATGCTTTTTGTCCACTGGAGCCACCACACACAATAGAACACTCGATGCCACAAATATTACCAAAACATGAAAACAGTCCATTATCTCCTCCTTTCTTGTTCCTCCCACCTTGCTTTTGGAGTGGAGCTACAATCATCTGTTGATTTCGTGGGACGGTTTCATTGGGCTTGTAACTTGATTTAGGGTTAAAGTTAGAGCTTGTTTTGTAGTCAGAACTTGGTTGATAACTTGAACCGACGTCTAAAACCACCGGTAAATTAGCTTGCCACCTTTCTAACTTAGAACGAAGTCCCTCAACGCTTCGTTCACCAACACTTATAACTGTACTCTCTGCATCTTTCCCTGTCAAAGCCTTCTCCTTTGCAATTTGAGCGGCGACCACTGAGGCTGAAGGGCCCAAATCAGATTCTGTAATCACGACCGGTCTTGACCTCATTGGTGTTCCATATTCAATACTGTTCCTTTTGGGAGTATATGCATTCGTGTTCCTTGGCCTCATCGGTGTCCCATATACGGTATGCTTTGTTTGCCTCATCATTGTATTTGGCGGTTTTCTTTGTGGCTCATACACAACCATCTGAGAATCAGATGAAAACTCATCTTTCTCAAAACCTGAGTTTGTTGTAGAACTAATACGGGTTTGTGTCACCTTCCTTGGTGAATCCACCATTGAGCTTGTATCACTTTTAGATCGTCGAAGCCCTACAGGTTTCGAAGTTATGCTTTTCTTGTGGAACAATAAATCTTCTTCATACAAAAGAGGCATGCTTTGGCCTGAGTTATCGATTAGCCCCACCGCGATATTTAGAAGGCCGTGAGGGCGGCCTGACGCACGAAGAACCTCTAAGGTAACGAATCTCATAGAGGAAGAAGGGCTAAGAAGATCGCTGATCAATGTTTGTACCGTTCCAACATGAATGTCTTTGAACCAATGCAATGCATAGATCTCTATAACAACTATCGATGTCTCGTCGTAGAGTGCTTCTTCGTCTAGACGAAACACAAATTTGTCGTTCCATGTAGGGCTTGTTCCGCCCGTATTGTCTACCCGAGTCATTAGTTTACGCTCCGGGTCAATCCAAGCGATTGCATATGTCTTCATACACCGTGCCACTGGCGCCAATTCTTGGGCCGAAATAATATTCAGCTCCAAAATTTGACAAGGCGCAAGAAAAGACATTTTTTTTTCCTTGACAAAACTATGTCTGAAAAACCAAAGGAAATGGAGAGGTTAAAATTTGTCCTTTCGGGGGATACAAAGACAAATCCGTCGTCGTCCTTGGAGGGGACGACGAAGGAAAGCAATGCATGAAGGTGAAAATGGAAAAGCAAATTGACAAAGGCACCCAAAAATAATAATAAGCAAAAAAAGATTTTTTTTGTTTATTAATTTCTTTTTTTTATTGGTTATTTTAGAACACCGAATCAATTGCATTCCTTTCCGTTGACTACTATTTTCTTTCAATAACTTCTTGCGGTATTTTTAGATCTCTCTCTTTCACTATTTTCTTTTATTTATTTTAAGTTTGTTTCTGTTATTTCTCTTATTATTTTTCTGATTAATTCCAGTTTCTTTTTTGTTGACAAAGATAATTTCAGAATAATAGTCTTTCTAGATACTTGAGTTGAGATTGCTAAGATTAAAGATCAGCGTAGAAAAGATAAATGTAAGCAATTTTGGGCTCTCTTTCGTGAGTACTTAGCGTGTTTAAACAGTTGCAAGTATAATAAAAAGGGTCCGTGAGTCTTACGAGTTTGAATTCTTGCGTAAAATCCTTTATCTCAAAGGTGAAATTTTTAAAACAATTTACTAAATTTTTTTTTTGTTTCTTTATTTAATGTACCAAAACAAAACAATTTCCTAAAATTAAATTTAAGTCGCGTGAAGTTGTCTTTACAAGCTTCTTTTTTTTCTTTTTTATATGAAATTTTAAATTTATTGATCATCAAGATAAATAATTTACAAAGGGTTGAAAGAATAATATAGCGATTCAACAGTCAAAAAAATAAAGAATAGAGATGAAATAGAACAAAGAATCTATCGCATACCAGAAATCTCAAACCACTGACGCAATAAACCTTCCAATTTGTAAGGGAAGCAGTAGTGTGGAGATGAGATTCGGTTTCGCATTACCTTATCAATAGTGTGGCATAGCTGAGAGGCAGAAGTCCAGCCCGTTATGTGTCTACGGGCATTTCTTTCACGCCATATATGATAAATAGTTACCTGGAACAATAGCCAAAGTAAGATAGAGTCCATAGGCCTAAGTGGAGCAGATGTGAGGAATTGTAACGGCCCGGAATCTGTTCGAGATAGTGGGCCGGTTTGTTTCGAGGATAAGAATAACTCAGTTCAGATCAAAGGGGGCTGATCGTGAACAAGTTAAGGGAACGATTTAGGCAAGGTCGAGAAACAAGTCCAAAGGACTTAGTCGGACAAAATGGATGAGTCGGTATAGTCGAGCTGGCAGGAATAGTCGAGCTGAACGAGCTGGAGTAGCTCACTACTAGTCGGGCCAGCTGACTATTAGCTGAACCAGCTGAACTAGCTGGACTAGCTGACCGGCAGCTCAACCTAGCTCAGCCAGCTGATCGAGTACTGACCCAGCTGGGCGGACTGACCAGCTAGGTACTGAGCTAAGGTGTGACTGAGACAGTAGTAAGTCAGTTGTTGCTGGTGGAGCTCGGCCAAAAGTGGTTATGGCCAAATAACTGCCTGTGATCCAAAGGGTGCAATCCTGACCATTGAAAGAATCAATGGCTGAGATTGGGGTATGGAGGATAGACGGTTTTGGGCAATGGAAACCGCTCATAGGCTATAAAAGAGATGTATTTTCGTGGAAAATGACATCTCTCACGCCTAAGGCGATTTATCCCCAAGATATCCGAGAGAAAATGTGATATCCGGATTCCAGTCCAGTCGGCGCCGGAGTGCTCTGACCATATCCGAGAGAAGTTCGGTATTGTCTGGGAAAAAGGGGATTTATCCGAGAGAAAATGGGGATCATCCGATAGAATCAGAGATAGTCCGGGAGAAGCAGGGATGTCCGGATTCCAGTCGAGTCATCGCCGGAGTGCTACGACCATGTCCGAGAGAAGTCCGACATCATCCGGGAGAAAGGGAAATTACCCAGGAGAAATTGAAGATCATCCGAAAGAAATAGAAAATATCCGAGGGATGAACGAGATAAATGGGAATCGCCGAGGGATGATCGGGATAAAGGAAACTTAGCCGAGAGAAAGGCAAGTTATCCGTGGGACGAAGAGGAATGGTCGGCGTCTCCCGATGATAGTCAGGGGATGCGAATGATCTGTTGATCAATTCGCGACTATATCCGAGAGAAGCGGTTATTACCGTGACCATGTCCGAGGGAAAATCAGGATAAGGGAAATTATCCGAGAGAATGGAAACTTAGCCGAGAGAAAGGCAAGTTATCCGAGGGGTAAAGAAGAATGGTCGGATGTCTCCCGTTGGTAGCCGGATGATGTGCAGGATCGTTGGATCGATCCGTGACCACATCCGAGAGAAGCGGTTATACTGTTACCATATCCGAGAGAAAGGAGAGATATTCGACAAGGGACAAGATTTACCGGATGTATCACGATGGTAGTCCGATGTCTCGCGGATATAGTCGGGTGATGCGAATGATCGGCTGATTGGTTCGCGACTATATCCGAGAGAAACGGTTAAGCGGTGACTACATCCTAGAGAAACTCCGAGTGATGGATGTTCGCCCGAGAGAAATGAGGAATATCCGGAAGAGGAAAGGATTAGCCGACTGTCTCGCGGTGATAGCCGGATGACGCGTGGGTTCGCCGGATAGGTTCGTGACTATCACCGGGAGAAACGGTTATATGCTGACCATATCCGAGAGAAAGTCCAGGCGATGGATGTTCGTCTGAGTGAAAGGAGAGACATCCGGGAGGGAAGAAGATTACCCGGCAGTCTCGCGGTGATAGTCGGGACACGCGAGAGATCCGAGGATCGGATCGTAAATATGACCGAGAGAAACGGTTACATTGTGACTATCACCGAGAGAAGACGGCTATACTGAGAAGATAGCCGAGGGAAATCATATCGTACCGAGAGAACGGCCGAAGGGAAGTGTTTCATCCGAGAGATTATTCAGGGCAACCAGATTGCCGAGGGATCCTTACCGAGGGTCGTGAGATCTCTCGGGGATGGTCGGATGAAACGGGCTACGATTGAGAGATAGCCGGACGCCCCCGACTACGATCGGGTGAATCGTGGTTATTACCGAGAGAAGCGGGATTATATCCAAGAGAACGTGACCAGGACCGTCAGAAAACACGAGTAGGCACGTGAAAAGGATTCCAGCCAAACATCGGTGGAATCGGGAAGCCGTATCGGAGGATTGACCACGGCCACGGGATACTGGTCCAGTATCCCGGGAATGGCCACGACCGTTGGCGAATGGTCGTGACGGTAGGATGAATGGTCGGATGAAATGATCCGGATTGGATCATTTCTCACTATTCCAGTCAGGCATTAGCTAGGAACTCCGACTACGGTCGAGAGAAACATGACTATGATCGGGAGACATCATGAAGTCATCGGGAGAACGAGTGTACGGTTGGACTAAACCGCAAAGGAAAGGGCATGGATGAACGGGCGATCCTAAGGGACAACCCTTGTCATGCCATGGGGCTGAATAGCCTCTCTGATCTAACCTAGTCATGTGGGGATGGTTGGTTGAATGACTAAGGAAGGATCGGAGATGGTGTATAAGCTAAGGGAGCTGATTGTGTAACCATGAGCATGATTAGCTGGGTCCAGCTGAGCTCAGCTGACTGGAGTGACAAAGGAGCTAGTCAAGGTGCAGCTACACCTCGTGAATATGGCTTAGGTATATATTAGCTAAAGACTGTAGCTGGATTAAAATAGCTAGGGTATCGACTAGACTAAGACTTGAGCTGGATGGCTAGGATGTTGACTAGTCCGTAGCTGGAATGTTACTACCTGGATAGTCACTAGCCTAGTTCTAAGTAGAATGGTCTAGGGGAATAGAATGGTAGGTGCATATGTTTAGCTTGTTCCGAGTCAAGGATCGATCTCTGAGCTGAATGGTGGTCAAGTGGACTACCGAAAGCAAGAGATCATCAGACCGGCAAGTGCTTGGTTAATGTAAAACCAAGGGAAAGTATAGTTTTAAATACTAAAGGATTTCCTCTGCATAAGATAGCCTAAGCAATCAAACCTCATAGAGGAGATTTTGCTAAGTAAAGGCTTAGAAGGGAGGTTCAGCCGGGGAATGCGGCTTGAACATGTAACCCTCGTAACGTGGTTAAGGATGGCCGGGTCGGGGTGTTACAAGTTGGTATCAGAGCATGCTTGATCCTAGGAAAGGGTAGATGCTCAGGGACAGAGAAGCTCGATCATGTAAGTAGTATGACATGGTCCAAGTTGAGATGTTGAGACAAGTACTTGGGAGTCTAGTGTTCTCGCCAAGGCTTGTTCAATGATCAAGATACTTCTCGGAGGTCATCGCTACTATGCATGATGGGCGGGGATCAAAACGAAAGTTAGGAAGAGGATCGAAAAAAGATTCTCACTGCCACTGAAATTCTGGGACGAATTCTTTTAGTGGGGGAGAACTTGTGACGATCCTAACAGGAAATATGGGATGTTAGTAGTGCAAAACCGGATCTTAGTCTTGGATGACTAAGCGATGGTTAAGCTGGAGCATGGATCATGAGACAGTCAGTTGACTGAGGAAGACTATGATCTGGTCAGGAGGTGACTGCGATCGTGAGTAAAAGACGGTGGTAACCGTAAAAAGGGACCATGAATGGTCTGGATAGATCAATGATCTTGGTAGCTAGCTCACGGTGGCATGACTGAGTCTAATGGTAGTTGAGACAGCTAAGATTAGCGCTTAAAAATTGGGAAAGTGGTTCTCTAAGGCAGATCTAGGGCGGCTAAGATACGAACCATAGACATTAGTACTATGCGTGACTAGTGCTCGGATTTTATTTGATTACCTAAGGATTCAGAGTTGAATCAGGGTTATATTGGTGTTCAGCTGGTCTAGGCAATTGAGGTAAGATCAGAAAATGTGCTTGGAAACCGGTAGAGTTTGCTAAGGCATAACCGTGAACCGAGAGCTTGCCAGATAGTTGAGTCACTTGAGTGCGCACAGAAATAAGTCGCGGATTCAAGATAATGGTAAGACGCGAAAGAGGCGCACATTAGGAAACATATGGCAGCATCTAGTGAAGACCAATGCCAAGAGATAACATAGTCGTGGACTATGATCGGGAAAAAGTTGACCACGTCCGGGAAGGACTAAGATCGGGATACGATATAGTCTAGTCGACTATGATCAGGAAAAAGTGGACCACGTCCGGGAAGGACTAGGGTCGGGATACGATATAGTCTGTGTGACTATAATCGATGATGAATTGACCAAGTCTGGATATGACTATGGTCGGGATGCGATATAGTCAAGGACTATAATCAAGGAAAAATTTGACCAAGCCTGGATATGACTATGGTCGGGATGCGATATAGTCAAGGCCTTTAATCAAGGAAAGTTTGACCAAGTCTGGATATGACTATGGTCGGGATCCGACATAGTCAGAGACTATGATCGAGGGGGATTGATCCAGTCCGGGTAGGACTATGGTCAGGTTAGGATCAAGTCAGGGAAGACTATGACCGTTAATCTAACTTAGCGGGAAAGGAGCTAAGTTAGGGATACATGGCCGTGTCCTGAGAGGAACATGGTCGGGGTTCAATCTAGTCAAGATTGACTAGGATTGGTTTTTATTACCGAGTCTAAGAAAGACCACGGTCGGAATCCGACATAGCCAAGGACTATGATCGAAGATAGTTAAGGATATATGGCTGAGTCTGAGATAGACCAAAGCCGGGATATGATCCAGTCTGGAGTGACTAGGATCGGGATTTATGACCACGTCTGGTAATGACAAAGGTCGGGATATGATCTAGTCAGGATTGACTAAGATCGGGATACATGATCGCGTCTGGAAAAGACCAAAGTCTGGAAGAGTTCTAGTGGGATTGACTATAATCATGAGATATGACCAATTCCGGTAAGGAAGACGGTCGGGATAAGGGAAATATGATCGTGTCCAGGAAGGACTAAGATCACAAACATGAGAAGGGCCAGAAGTTACTAAGGAAAAACTCTGGGAGATGGTAAAGGGAAGGAAACAAGTTCTCATTGCCACCGAATTCGAGGACGAATTCCTTTTTAGTGGGGGAGACTTGTAACAGCCTGGAACCTGCTCGAGATAGTGGGCCGGTTTGTTTCGAGGATAAGGATAACTCAGTTCAGATCAAAGGGGGCTGATCGTGAACAAGTTAAGGGAACGACTTTGGCAAGGTCGAGAAATAAGTCCGAAGGACTTAGTCGGACAAAATGGATGAGTCGGTATCGTCGAGCTGGCAGGAATAGTCAAGCTGAACAACTGGAGTAGCTCACTACTAGCCGGGCCAGCTGACTATTAGCTGAACCAGCTGAACTAGCTGGACTAGCTGACTGGCAGCTCAACCTAGCTCAGCCAGCTGATCGAGTACTGACCCAGCTGGGCGGACTGACCAGCTAGGTACAGAGCTAAGGTGTGACTGAGGCAGTAGTAAGTCAGCTGTTGCTGGTGGAGCTCGGCCAAAAGTGGTTATGGCCAAATAACTGCCTGTGATCCAAGGGGTGCAATCCTGACCATTGAAAGAATCAATGGATGAGATTGGGGTATGGAGGATGGACGGTTTTGGGCAATGGAAACCGCCCATAGGCTATAAAAGAGATGTATTTTCGTGGAAAATGACATCTCTCACGCCTAAGGCGATTTAACCCCAAGATATCAGAGAAAAAATGTGATATCTGGATTCCAGTCCAGTCAGCGCCGGAGTGCTCCGACCATATCCGAGAGAAGTTCGGTATTGTCCGGGAAAAAGGAGATTTATCTGAGAGAAAATAGGGATCATCCGATAGAATCAGAGATGCTCCAGGAGAAGCAGGGATGTCCGGATTCCAGTCGAGTCATCGCCAGAGTGCTACGACCATGTCCGAGAGAAGTCCGGCATCATCCGGGAGAAAGGGAAATTACCCGGGAGAAATTGAAGATCATCCGAAAGAAATAGAGAATATCCAAGGGATGATCGGGATAAATGGGAATCACCGAGGAATGATCGGGATAAAGGAAACTTAGCTGAGAGAAAGGCAAGTTATCCGTGGGACGAAGAGGAATGGTCGGCGTCTCGCGATGATAGTCAGGGGATGCGAATGATATGTTGATTAATTCGCGACTATATCCGAGAGAAGCGGTTATTACCGTGACCATGTCCGAGGGAAAATCAGGATAAGGGAAATTATCCGAGAGAATGGTAACTTAGCCGAGAGAAAGGCAAGTTATCTGAGGGGTAAAGAAGAATGGTTGGATGTCTCCCGTTGGTAGTCGGATGATGTGCAGGATCGTTGGATCGATCCGTGACCACATCCGAGAGAAGCGGTTATACCGTTACCATATCTGAGAGAAAGGAGAGATATCCGACAAGGGACAAGATTTACCGGATGTATCACTATGGTAGTCCGATGTCTCGCGGATATAGTCAGGTGATGCGAATGATCGGCTGATTGGTTCGCGACTATATTCGAGAGAAACGGTTAAGCGGTGACTACATCCGAGAGGAACTCCGAGTGATGGATGTTCGCCCGAGAGAAATGAGGAATATCCGGAAGAGGAGAGGATTAGCCGACTGTCTTGCGGTGATAGCCAGATGACGCGTGGGTTCGCCGGATAGGTTCGTGACTATCACCGGGAGATACGGTTATATGCTGACCATATCCAAGAGAAAGTCCAGGCGATGGATGTTCGTTTGAGTGAAAGGAGAGACATTCGGGAGGGAAGAAGATTACCCGGCAGTCTCGCGGTGATAGTCGGGACACGCGAGAGATCCGAGGATCGGATCGTAAATATGACCGAGAGAAACGGTTACATTGTGACTATCACCGAGAGAAGATGGCTATACTGAGAAGATAGCCGTGGGAAATCATATCGTACCGATAGAACGGCCGAAGGGAAGAGTTTCATCCGAGAGATTATCTGGGGCAACCGGATTACCGAGGGATCCTTACCGAGGGTCGTGAGATCTCTCGGGGATGGTCGGATGAAACGGGCTACGATCGGGAGATAGTCGGACGCCCCCGACTACGATCGGGTGAAGCGTGGCTATTACCGAGAGAAGCGGGATTATATCCGAGAGAACGTGACTAGGACCGTGAGAAAACACGAGTAGGCACGTGAAAAAGATTCCAGCCGAACATCGGTGGAATCGGGAAGCCGTATCGGAGGATTGACCACGGCCACGGGATACTGGTCCAGTATCCCGAGAATGGCCACGACCGTTGGCGAATGGTCGTGACGGTAGGATAAATGGTCGGATGAAATGATCCGGATTGGATCATTTCTCACTATTCCAGTCAGGCGTTAGCTAGGAACTCCGACTACGGTCGAGAGAAACTTGACTATGATCGGGAGACATCATGAAGTCATCGGGAGAACGAGTGTACGGTTGGACTAAACCGCAAAGGAAAGGACATGGATGAACGGGCGATCCTAAGGGACGACCCTAGTCATGCTATGGGGCTGAATAGCCTCTCTGATCTAACCTAGTCATGTGGAGATGGTTGGTTGAATGACTAAGGAAGGATCGGAGATGGTGTATAAGCTAAGGGAGCTGATTGTGTAACCATGAGCATGATTAGCTGAGTCCAGCTGAGCTCAGCTGACTGGAGTGACAAAGGAGCTAGTCAAGGTGCAGCTACACCTCGTGAATATGGCTAAGGTATGGATTAGCTAAAGACTGTAGCTGGATTAAAATAGCTAGGGTATCGACTAGACTAAGACTTGAGCTGGATGGCTAGGATGTTGACTAGTCCGTAGCTAGAATGTTACTACCTGGATAGTCACTAGCGTAGTTCTAAGTAGAATGGTCTAGGAGAATAAAATGGTAGGTGCATATGTTTAGCTTGTTCCGAGTCAAGGATCGATTTCTGAGCTGAATGGTGGTCAAGTGGACTACTGAAAGCAAGAGATCATCAGACCGGCAAGTGCTTGGTTAATGTAAAACCAAGGGAAAGTATAATTTTAAATACTAAGGGATTTCCGCTGCATAAGATAGCCTAAGCAATCAAACCTTATAGAGGAGATTTTGCTAAGTAAAGGCTTAGAAGGGGGGTTCAGCCGGGGAATGCGTCTTGAACATGTAACCTTTGTAACATGGTCAAGGATGGCCGGGTTGGGGTGTTACAGGAATCCCAACGTCTCGGTCCAGTCTGGATTAGCACCTGTGCCAACCAAGTGTCTTAATAGATCCAACCAGACTGTATAAGTGAAGGGCAGGCATGATCGCGGGTCTCGTCTCTATCACCACAGAATAAGCACGGTTGCTCATACCCCCAACGCTCGCATTCTGTCCCCATTGATAATCGATTTTTGATCGCTAGCCAAGCAATGAAAGAGAAACGTGGAATGCCATGCGGGAACCAAATAACACAGTACCATGGTACCTTGTCTCGCGTCTTTCTGATCTGATTCCACATGAGAGACGAGGAAAAACTATCAGAATATGTGTCCTCCTTGTGCGTCCACATAACCAAATCCTCTCCCATGTCTTCTATAGGAACCGGCTCAGCTCTAATTCGGTCTGTCAGCTCTTGTGGTAGAGCCCCTCGTTGACGACGAATGCTCCAGGCTCCTGCTTCTATGACCTTGGGTACTCGTGCATGTCGATGAATCCCAAAAAGACGGGTACCCGAATCTCCCAGGATATCTATCAGCTTCCCCTGCTGCAGCCAATCATCAAACCAAAAGAAAGTAGTGCTGCCATCCCTTATTTCAAAACTTTACAAACTTTTTTACAAAAGACATCTCTCAACAGTAGCCGTACCTACTGGATAAGTTAATGTCAACTTCAAAAATCTGTAAACAAGATGGTCAAGATGTTATTGTGTGTCCATCATCATACAAAAAAATCTCTAATAGCCTCCAAATTAGTAAACCAGTCATCCGATCATATATTGTCAATGTAGAATTTTGTGGACGATATAGGGGAGAGCATGTACCAAATTGAATTTTCTAAAATAACACATCATATATATATTAAATTTTTGGTGGTTTAGCAAACACATATTGGCTACATTAGCAACATTTAACGGTTGACTGACAGAATTAGAGTCAAGATATGTTTTGATCATGTTTTAGAGTTCAAGTATAATTTATAAAAAAAAATGAAGTATGGGAATGTTTTTGTGCATATGATGTATTAAATGCCCGTTCTCCCCCAAGATATATAAGGGAGCCAGAATATTTTCCTTGGAAAGAATGTAGTTTCTTTTCTCGTCAAACTCCTCTTGACCCACACGACCATACATCTCAAAATTCATATAGGAAAGTTTAAGATTAGATAGTTACAAAAAAAAAAAAAAGTTTAAGATTAGAATCGGCTTAGACCAGAAAAATGGAAGTTATTTTCTATTATCGTTCTTGTGTGTTCTTGGTTGCTACGTTCTCCAGATCGAAAACCGGCTGAGAACATTGCCCTAACTTAAGCCTCAAACACTTTAGATTCACACTTATTCTACTTTTTTTAGACGTCAATTTGAACAAACTCCTCTGCTTTTATTATTAAACAGAGGATTTTTGTAGACACTTCATACCGCCAAACGAAACCCTCTTTGCCAACTAGTGATTCAAACAAACCTCCAGAAATATGTACATAACTTCGGTTCAGAGATCCCCCATTTCTTTCTAACTAGACAACTCCTCTTCCCAAACATAGTTTTAGACTCGAGTTAATATCCACTAACATCTATACTAAATGAAATGAATTGTTTGGGACTCCAGAAGTGATCCACATCAGCTTTCTAAAAGTAATAGATGATGACCTGTCTGTCCATGCGGGTTTACATTTGAGCATATATTTTTATATTTATAATTAATATGATAATTTTACAATTGAATATAGTGATAATATAATTTTAAATTTGTTATGTAAATATATAAATATGGTTTCAATTAATCCACATACAAGTTTTTTACTAAATTATATGTAAGTTGATGAATAAATTTTTATCGCTTTTATTTCAAAATTTTGAAATCATAAAACTGAATTTGCTTTAAATTGTTTTTAACCTACATAAATATCGTTGGAATTTTTTTGATCTTTTATTTTTATTATATTATGTATGTATTTTTTTACAAATTTTTTGTTAATACAGTGTTAATTTTTAATTTATTAGTTGTGAGAATTAGCATTGATTAAAAAAAATATTACTATAAGTTAAATGAGAGTAAAAAAACTGTTGATTTTAATTTTTTGTTTTCTGATATGTTAAATCAATATTAGAATTGTTTAATTGATTTCACAATTGATATTGTGTATATGTGTAAGAAGTTTTGGATCAAAAAAGTATGTACTAAATTCTAAAAAGATAGTTTAGTGCACATAATGTTTAACAAAAGAATAGATACAAAATTTATAATCAAGACTTACATCGTAGTTCGAAAATATGTTTATATTTAAAGCTTATGATGTTTAAATTTTAAAGAGATTATCAAGTTTGTATGTTTAGTTTATCATAATACTTTTTAAAAAGATATTTTATTTATATTATCGATAGATTTTGACAGTAAAATTGAGTATTGACTTTAATGAAATAACCAAAGAGAATTATATTCATGATTTACAAAACCCGAATCCATCTATATACAGTAGGATCAATCAAATCCACCAATACGGGAGGATTATGAAATATCAACCATCCTCGAATAAATCTAATGGGATGAAGAGAAGTTAAGTCATCAGGAACCGAGGAAGAAAAAAACCAGTTTAATAGTTTCAGATCCATCTCTCTTTCTCCTTCTGCATCTGTTTCAGTGGTGTCTCCTTTAGAACTGCCTTGTGAGCATTGGTTTGCAGAACCCTGTGAACTAAGCTAACCTTGCTAACCTTCCTCTGCTTCCTATAGACAACTTAACTTTCTCTATCCCGACATTAATGCCACCTCTTCTCAACGGTTGCTGTCTCGGGGAAGATTTCGTTTGCATTCTCTTCTGCATGCTTCGTCTCAGTATGCTGCTCAGCGTCTTCCCGTTGCTTCTGTGCAACTTCGGACTGACGCAGCGCACTTGGTGAGCGCCGCTCTTTTGATCAGGCGAGTTTGTAATAGCTTGGCGTGCTGGCCTCAACGGCGAAGTTGATGTGAATGGGAGAATGGCATTAGGGCAAGAGAACTCCTTCTTGGAGCTGGAGGTGGTAGGATACGTTTTGGACAAACGGAGAATCTTCCTGTTCTCTTGGGTATTTGCAATCTCTCAGCCATTTCTGGATTGTTCTCCTTCTCAGTGAGGTCGTTGTGCTTGAAGCCACCGTTCGGTAAAGGAGGTAGGTCATAGATGGTGTTGCTCTCCGAGAGTGGTGGTCGGGATAGATTCACCGTTTCTTTTGAAGTTGAGGTTGTTGCTTCCCAACAGTATGTTTGCAAGTGGTGGCCTCTTTGATGTGTTGTTTTCATCTTCGTTCTGCTGTTTTATTTGCTGCTCAGCAATCTTGGTGTCTACGTGTTGATGAGCCAGCTTCCTCTCCACCAGCAGATGTGATTCAAGTTCTTTGATCTAGTAAAGAAATATGTGATTGGTTTTAGCAAGATGAAAAGTGTTATAACCCAGCGTTGTTGTTCTTGTGGTTTTTATGGTGAGCATTGTTTACCTTGTCTTAAAGGGTTTTATTCTTAGTGTCTCGTTCCTTAATCGTTGCTTCTAAGCCGAACATCGTTTTCTCCATTTTCCTCATCTGTTCGTCTTTTCCTTTCATGTCTTGCTTCCATTTCTCAACCTGATAAATAATTAACTTTGTCATTTTGAACAATACATGAATGATTTGATAAACACATATGTGGAAGATGTAGCTTAACATTTGCTTCTATTTAAAGAGTTCAGTATTGTCTAGCTGCTTTTTTGCAAGTTCCCAACTTTATCCCTCTTACTTTGCTAGCAAAATTCAGTGAGCATAGTGTCTCGCTTAGATCCTTCTCGGTAGGACTGATTTGTACGAACATGAAGGTCTTCGAATCTCCTCCTGTTACACACCAGTCATTTTTTTTTCCAGAATTCATAATAAAGTACATAAGAGAACAATTTAGTGAGACATATGTAAGCAAATAAATTTATTGCTGCGTTGAGAACAGAGTTAAGTACCTAGAGAATCCTGAAGTAAGTGCGTGAGCTTTGAATTTCTGCAAAGGTGAATGCAAAATAAAATCCAAGTTGGATTAAAAAAATGGTGACTGTAACCTTCTTCACTAACTCAAGGAAAAATAGATGTATCATTTCTACCTGAAAGGAATATAAGAGCTTTTGTTGGCAAGAGCGAATATGACATCACCAAGAGCAGATAGTGACTTGTTAATGTTTTGAGTCTCCTTGAGCCATTCTCCTTGCACTTCTGTTTTTGCAACCCGTTCGCTTCCTGCTAAATCCACTAACCATAGTTTCTTTTTGTGCATTCTCCATTCAACAAATTTTCCCCTTTTACCATCACGCAGTGAATGCTGTGCAAAGAAAAGAAAAAAAAAATCTACATTTAGATAGCTGATCACCAAAAAGATTTTCGGAAAAAGGAGAGTTGAACTAAAAATCAGGTATGCAGACCAGTGAGATCAGCTGCTGTGCTCATTCTTGTTGTAATTACCTATAATACTGTAAAAACTGACAAAAAAAAAGAGCCCACGAAAGTATTCTTTGAGTTATTTGATCACATATCATCATCATGTACACATACACAGCTTCTTCTTCATTAGTCTCACAGACCGAAAATAGAAAGATCTTGAGAATCTTACGGGTCAGCCTGTAAGTCGGCATATTTCACAGTAAAATGAATCAGGAAGCGGTGAATTTCCTCCCATATACTTCTCCGGGATAATAACACAGCCAACATGCTTCCAGACATGACACCTTGGATCCTCGCCCTGAAAATTACAAATCATAACTGAGACCAGCAGATATCACCAAGATTTTACTGTGCCATGAATCACCAAGAGCTACTGCTAACAAAACCTTGAGTTTAAAATTCTATTGTGTCACAGGCTAACTGTATCATTGACTGCGTCTCCAGTGATCTTCCACAAATACACCGAACTTTAATTTTTGGCTTAAATAGTTTTCAGACTCTCCTTTAACTCTCGCATTAGAGCCAAAGCTTGACTTCATGATCTCATCAGAGCCAAAGCTTTAAACAGAAGATAGATCAAACAGGGAAGACGAGCGAAGTGTATGGCGGAGGGCAACACGGATCCAGCGGAGGATAAGACACGCCATGGACTTTAAAGCACGATGGGTATGGGAAAGAGAAACAGTAGAGGAGAGTAATTAAGAGCAAGTGACGATGGGTAGAGGGTGATAGAAAGAGTGAGAGACCGAGGGGGCAGGAGAAACCGAGCCCATAGATCCGGCAGATCTGGCAGGTTCGGTAGCTCTAGACGAATAGGGATGGTCGGTGACTTTGAGAAGGAGGTTCTCCGGTGGAAAAAGAGAGAGAAGGAGACGAGCTTGCTCAATCAGGTTTGACGGAGTGAAACGATGGATCAGAAGCTCAGTCCACAAGAGCAACATGGAGTTCATCGATTCAAGTGCCGGAGAGAGACAGGGAGGCCGAACACAATCTTGTGGGAGAAAAAGAGATTCCGAGACAGAGACTACCGGTGAACTTAGGTGAAGAGGCAAGCGACAGAGAACTCATTGTGTCAACTATAGCGATTCGATCGAATCAATGGCTGGCTTACCCTTCTCCTCGTTCAAAAAAAATCTCGATTGCCCTTGTTATAAAACTAATATATTTATCTAATTATTTTAATACTAATTCTTATTGATTTACTCTTCTCTTCCTTTCAATTTCAATTAATTACAGATTCAACCATTAAACTTGGATCAACTCATCCTACAAGAGACCCGAATTCGAAATCAATTTGGATCGATTAAACTTTAAAATCGTTCATTTTTTTTCAGTTTTCAGTTCAAACCATCGGGTGCGAAGTGAACAGACACGAAATCCTCACTAATTCAGTTCCATTCGTCTTCATATTCTCCAATTTCGTATCATCTTCCTCCTCTTTCTTCTCCGAATTCCTTCTCCTCCTCTTCTCTTCTCCCCCTTAATCATTTTACTCTCTGAATTCTTCAACTCTCACTCTGCTCTTTCGCTGAATTCCAAGCGAGATAACAATAGCGTCTAAAGGTATGTTGAATTCTGGAACTTCCCTATTATTTCCCCTCTAATATGTTGATCGAGAAGAGACATGAATTAAGGAAATATATAAACTGGATTATCTTTTACAATTCAATAATTTTCATTATCGTTTTCTTGATGTTATAATGGAGTCTGATTTTATTTACCCATCGACTTGTGTCTATTGATGCCTTAATAGTTACGAACTTCTTGTTTGATTGTAGGAGTTAATGTGGATCCGTCAAAAACAAAAATGAAGCAGCATCAGAATCTTAGCGAAGGAAGCAGCCTCAGAACCGGATTCGTCAGAACCTTGACGAACTCTGATGATGAGGAGAACCCTACGGTATGTAGTTAGATGAATTATTGTTTAAACAAGTATGTAGTACCTTGTAAAAATTTTTTAAAGTCATAGTATTTCTAAAAATAAAAGTAACATTTGGTAAAACTTGAATCAGTTGCAGGATTCGATTGAAACAGAACCAATGCAACTTATGCAGATGTACTTTAATCCGACTGAGTACAAGAAACAGGTGAAGATATCGACCAGGTATTACATTCACAAGGCGGTTAATACGATAAATTCTTTGAATTTTACCATTGAAGAGAGGAATTGGTTTCACAACCACCCACAATTCAAGCACTTCTTCCATATGTATGACGACTCAAACCACAAGGTTATGGGCATGTGGATGCTCCTGCTTCGAACGGCTGAAGTTGAGAAGAGAAGGGAGGCTTGGTTCATTGTGAATGGCGTCCCAATTAGGTATTCTCTCAAAGAACACACTCTGATTTCTGATGTAAGACTCTGATGAGCTTAAGCTTATATGAACCAGATGGGGATGGAGAGCACAAGCTGGCGGTCGCTCTCTCTTGCACTCGTTTGATGGTCGATGATGGAGATCTAACACGTTGGCGGTCGCTCTCTCGTGTGGGATCAATGTAAAAAGGGGTTTTCTGGTGGGACGAAGTGTACCACAGAGTTGTGATGAGGCTCTGATACAACACGGCTCAACTCAAGAGAATCCACTCAGAAATCAAGAAAAGGGGTGAACAAAGCTCTTTAGATTTCTTTGAAGAAATTCGGCGTCTTTATTGATAAGTGAAAAGGTAACCAAATTACACGGCTGCAAGGGGACCTTATAAATGGTCCTATCAGCTAGCCCTAGGGCCAAAAGCAAAACGCAAAAGAACAAAACAAAACACAAAGGAAACGACACAAAGCTAAACGTACAAAGCAAAGAAAACTATAAAAGGTGACATGCTCAAATTAACCCTTAGAGCTACTCTCTCAAATTAAGAGATTACAGTAGTACTTAGAGATCGAATCCACAAGGACTTAGATTGTTGCACACTAGATTCTAGGTTCAAATCAAGCTAAGAAAAACTAAATAAATGTAATGCAAGTAATAAAAATAAAGCAGCAAATCGATTGTGAGGAGGTTTTAAAGCAAAGAGAGAAACGCTAGGCCTTGGGCAATTCGCAGGTGAATCCGAATTGCAAATCTAGACAGAATGTTAGGAGTTTATTAAACATTGTTCTTAAACTTGAAACACTAATATAAAATCAATCAACTTCCGCTGCAGAGATTATCTATGTCTAAATCCTAGAATCCCAAATTCCTTTGCAAATCCTATTAAGTCAAACAAGCATTAAAATCAGGTTCAATTGTTCACAAAATCCTAAACCAAATTCCTTTGCAGATAGGAATTTTGCTCATCTAAGATTAGTTCTGGTGATTAACAATGTTTCCACATCTATTAAACAACCTAAGATCAAATTCTAGGTCATGAAGCTAGAATAAGCATTAAACACAAATCCAGATGAAGAACTCTAATGATTTTATCCTAACAATTCAATTCAACCTAGCAATTCATCATCACCTTTGAAAAACCCTAAACCTAACAAGCAAACTACTCAGACATGATCAATGAAACAGAAATCATAATTTGAATAGAAAGCATAAGATAAATCAATAGAAGAAATAAAGGAGTTCAAAATCTTCTCTAAAGGAGAATAATTTATCTCTCTAAAAACTCTCTAAAAATTTCTCTTAATCTCCCAATAAAATAAAGCTTAGGTCTAAACAATGACCATAAAAATCCTTTTATAGACCCAGAACACGATTTGAGGCGAAACTGCAAATATATAAAACTTCTGGGCGAACTTGTAAGTCTTCAGAAATCTTTAAAAACTCGGGCAAGATTTGTGCACTTTTGGTGTCGATCGACACCAAGACCCTAGTGTCGGTCGACACGGGATTTGCCGCGCACTGCACAATTTCTGCTCGAGTGTACAATTTTTGCACGACTTGATTTCTTCAGCAACATCTTCTGTTTTGCTCCAGAATGCTCCAATATCTCCAAATAAGCTCCAAACATATCCAAACCTGTAAAGACTCAAAAAGATTCGAAAATAACAAAAAGACTCTATAAACAGGACTTATATCATGGTCAAAAACCCATAAAAACCATGATATATCAACTCCTCCAGACTAAGCTTTTGCTTGCCCCCAAGCAAACAGAAAACTAAATACAGAGTCGAGGTTTGAAAACACGGGAACTCACCTTCTCATAGATCATTGCTTTGACTGTTCATCTTGTAATCCACACACTGCATTTCTTAAACCAAATCGAACCACCATGTACTTCGCCTTAGACATTCACAGCATCCCAGATTCAACACATAAATTCACAGCATTGTCCAATAACTATCATTGCTAAACTTCATCAGCAGCCTAAATGTTCAAGAACTTTCTAGATTCAGTCCCATACTATACCTAAATAAATTTGCAGTGCAATCTATCAACCTTTGGTACTCTTTCTCTCCTCCAAACTTATTATATTATTCAGGTGTAGGTAAATAATGGTATCACAGGATAATCCTAACCTTACTTCCACCTGTGATCATCTCTTTAAAATGAAATACTGGGATCATTGGAAATTTTCCTACCCTTCACTCAAAGAGAGTCATCTCAAATTTTCAAAATTTATCACATTATTTCATTCTTTTTCTTTAACTATAAAGGGAGAGGAGTACCATCACTTTTCAAACATTGCAGGCAATTTTTCAGGTATGAATGAGGAATCAAGCTCTATGAATATCAGACTTACTAACTTAGCCTTTTTGAAGCTTAAGTTAAGTGGAATTTGCTGGAACTATGGATGTTTCTAGTTAACTGGTCAGCCTAAGGATTTTTCATTAGTCAGAAACTGGTATTAATCATGCAGCAATGGTCACTCAGATGAAACAATCATCACAAACAATCAAGAGAAAGATCCTAGTTCCCAACTAGTTTTGACTCAATAAAACAAATTTTGGACTAACTCAAAACTGACTCTCAAAAACAAACACAACGTCAGTAACTACCTCCCCCAGACTTAAACAACATTGTCCCCAGTGTTATCAAGCCTGAAGTAGGTGAAAAGAAGAATCAGAACTCAGTGAACAGAGGTTTTCGAGAAACATACCTTGTAGGTCGGATGAATGAGTGATATAATGTGAAAGAGCACAAAAATCCAACCAGTTTAGGCTTTTGAATCACTCAAAAAGGTCAAGAAACGCAAAAGTTATGGATGGTTGAACTTTTGGAATTGCAGTCCCGTCAAGGTGTCGATCGACACTAGGTGGGTGTCGATCGACACTGTTCACTGTCGACCTCGGTCGATATCCGTCCGTCTCGAGGCAAAATTTTTTTTTTTTTTTTTTTTTTTAACACAAAAACCAGTTAGTAAAAACTAAAATTAAGAATAAGTATGTACACTTACCAGTGGGTTGCCTCCCACTAAGCACTTGTTTTCAG